TTAATTTAGTAGTGAGTTATGTGCGTTTAAGTGATTTTCGGAAGGGGACTTTGTATAGGAGCTATGTCCAATTATGGAACGATCCAGAAAGTTTTTTCTCTCAATGAATTTCATTGACATAAGATTTAAATTTGTGAAGATATCAACATTCTGACAGAAGTTATTAACAAAAAACTCATTTTCCGGGATTATTTACTTTTATATGGGAGGTATATGAAATTATGGACCGATTCTGGCAATTTTCAGCAAGAATCAAGATCTTGTGTAAAAACGAATGTATGATGACTTTCATGAAATTATCTTGCATAGTTTTCGAGAAAATTACATCAGAATGTGTAAAAAATGCTTATTAGAGTTGTTTTAAATTTTGATTCATAACTTTTCCCCATGTGAACCGATTTTGCTCATTTGCAATACCAAACTGTACCGGATAATAATGAATATTTTGGGTGAATTCGGTTAAATTACATTGCTTCGTTTTAACATGAGCGTGACGGACGGACGTACGGACAGACGGACATAGCTAAATCGACTCAGAATTTCATAAGGACCCAGAATATATATACTTTGTTGGGTCTCAGATGAATATTTCTTGGTGTTACATCACCACTGATGGTGGTGGAGGGTATAAAAACATAACATTTTACACAAAATGTTTATAGAATACAAAAATTTTAAAATTCATGTTAACAACGTTAACAGAACGAACGTTTAAGTAATAGAATAAGGGTATAAAATTATTGATTTTTTAAATGTAATGAATTTATAATAATAATATTTATTTCTTTAATAAGTATGAGCTTTTCATTTTTTTTATATTCATGAAAAATTAATATATACGATTTTCTTTATAAGCACATTGTGGCATATACAAAAAATTGTGTTTATAATCACTTTAGCAATATAGTCCTCAATTTGTGTGAAATTAAGGGTTGTGACTATAAGCGAAAAGTACTGTATGACCAAAATATCCAACTTTGACCCCCTCTAAGTCCGATAGTGCTGGAAATTTGTATCTGGCCTACTATCCAATAGTACTGACCTTGGTGCAAATCCAAATCCATATACAAAATTTATTAAATTTCAAATAATTAAAAAATACCTTTTTAAATTTGTCCAGCTCACGAATGGTTATCGCTGTTATTGCTATAAAACAGAGCAAGGTAAATTCTAAGAGAGGTAACAACGCGATTTAAGTTTCCATGAAATTTGTTAGAGATATACATACTAGGGTGATCGACTCGGTATTTCAGTTTTGTTTTTTTCTAAATGTCGATTTTTCGAATGTCGATTAAGCCGGTTTTTTTACTTTTTAAAAACCGATTAAGAATACTTTTATTTGCTTTGTATTCAAAGATTACTTAAATTAAATTTTGTAGTAAATAATAATACAGTCGGTCTAAATTTTAAAAATATTGGAGTCCAGTAATTTTCTAATGCACCGTTGGTTAAACTCTTTTGACTTCCTTAATTAATTAACAAATTTTAAAATTTATTGGAATAACTATTTGATAAAACTTTATCAACCTTAAGATTATATTCCAATTACAATAATTACCTGGAGGCTAATCTATTATTGTATGTTGGAATGCCTATGAAAATTGTCTAAACAGGGATTTTAGAATAAGCTGGGATTACATAGTTGCTTCTATTTAACAGAAGTATCCCACTTTTTTCCAAATTTTATACCCTTCACACCATCAGTGGTGATAGAGGGTATATATAAGTTTGTCATTCCGTGTGTAACACCAAAAAATATTCATCTGAGACCCAACAAAGTATATATATTCAGGGTCCTTATGAAATTCTGAGTCGATTTAGCTATGCCCGTCTGTCTGTCTGGTTAAAGCACGCTCACGTTAAAACTAAGCAAATGAAATCAACCAAATTCACTGAGAATATTCATTGTTTTCCTAAGCAGTTTGGTACTGAAAATCAGCAAAATTGGTTCACACCGTAAAAAGTTATGAGTAAAAATTTCAGACTACCTAAAAAATTAAGTTTTTTTTCCCTAATTCTTGAGTAGTTTCCTCAGAAACTACCAAAGATAATTCGGCAAATTTTGTCACAGATTATTTTTTCCATCTATAGATTAATTATGTTTATAATTGTAACAATCGATCCAAAATTTTCCATAGCCCCCATACTAAGGTGCATATTCCCGGAAATTAATTAATCGTTAATAACGTCCTCAAATATATCGGTATCAACACAAAATTTTGTACATATTGACATTATATGAACAGGAATCAAAACTACGGACTTAGATCTGTATCGGTCCACAATTGGTCATAGCTCCCATATAAGGTCCTCTTTCGAAAGCTATCGGGATAAAATTCGACATGAATATGTTTTGTATATACATAAATCATTCTACGGAATTTTTTTCCGGTCATAATTGGTCATAGCTCCCATATAAGGTTCACATCCGAAAATCACTTAAACGAGCATAATTCATAGATAAATAAAGCTATCAGGATAAAATTCGACATGAATGTGTTTTGTGTGTATATGAATTACTCTACGAAATTTGTTCCGGATCGGTCCATAATCGGTCATAGCTCCCATATAAGGTCCACATCCGAAAATCACTCAAATGCGCATAATTCATTGATTAATAAAGCTATCATCATAGATATAAATCATTCAGTGAATTTTTCTCCGGATCAGTCCACAATTGGTACTAGCTCCCATATAAGGTCCACATCCCAAAATCACTTAAACAAGCTTAATTCATTGATAAATAAAGCTATCGGGATAAAATTCTGCATGATGTGTATAATATTAATTTTGAGTATAAATATTAATTACTTTACGATTTTTTTTTTTCGGATCGGTCCCATATAAGGTCCACATCCGAAAATCATTTAAATGAGCATAATTCATTGATAAATAAAGCTATCAGGTAAAACTCGACGTGAATTTGTTTTGTATATTTTTGTATATATAAATCATTCGTGAAAATTTTCCACATAGGTTCATAATTGGTTACATTCCCTATAAGACATTTTTTCAGCATCGGTCCATAACTAGCTCCCATATAAGGTTCACTTCCGAAAACCACTTAATGCCACATAATTTATTATTAAACTCGACATGAGTATGTTCTGTGTATAGATAAATCCTTTGATTATTTTTTTTTCGAATTGGTCCATTATTGGTCATTGTTCCCATATAAATTATCGGCAGGATCGGCACATAATAGGTCGAAGAATAATCGGTCGGTATCTGAAAATCACTTAATACAAATGTTTCTGGGCCTAATCAAAATTAGTTACATACATTCATGCATAAATAAGTTACAAAATGATAAATAGTATCTTACTTACGGAAACAAAACATGTGCCGGGTTTAACAGTTCTCCATAAGGGAAATAAAGTACTTTAATACTTAGTATGTATTTTAATACTTAAGTAAAATTTATTTCTTTGGTATAAATTATAAATTCGGCCCTATAACTTTAACCATTTATAACATATTTATATTGGGTTTTAATAAAAAGTAGTTTGCTGGTGGAGGGTATTTAAGATTCGGCAGAGCCAAATATAGCATTCTAACTTGTTTTAAATGAATTTTGTTATTTATAATAAAAAACCTGTTTACCTGTTTTTTCTGAATTTGAAAAATATCAACCGGTTTTTTGAAATGTGAACTATTAGAAAACCGGTTTTTGGAAAATGTCGAATAATCGATCACCCTAATACATACATATTGCACAGCCAGTACAAAAGTGATACAACTCAAAATTTTTTACAAACACAAAGAACCACATAACGTTTTTTCTTGAACAGTTAACAACAACAAAATACACTATTATTTTTTTTAGAGATAAACAAGTATCTTGTACATAGTTTAAGGCTTAAACTTAAGGCTTAAAGAATATAAAACTATAGTTGTGTTTTTTGTTGTTGTGTTTTTTTATAGAGACTAGAGACAAATGTCGACCGATTTTCGTAATATTTGTGAGAGTTATCTAAAAATATTTTGTGTTAAATTTAATAATTAAGTTTAAAAATTGCTTTCAGGAGACATTTTATAAAAGGCACATCGCGAATTAATATTATACATTCTTTAGTACCATCATTTTTTAAACGGAGACAGTAGCTTGACCGTTTACTTGATTGATTTCGATCGTTTTTGACAAAATTTGAGTAAAAAAGTATGCTTTTTATTTTGCAGAGCAAAATTTCCGATCACAAACTAATCGATTTTTACAGCAATAATCGATTAATGGTCGTAATCGAAGTCGATTTACCATTCCCTAATACATATACATAATGATCATTTCCAAGAACTTCGCTTGTCCAGCAAACAATGTATAATTATTAGGGTGATCGATTATTCGACATTTTTCAAAATCCGGTTTTCGAATAGTTCGAATAGTTAACATTTGAAAAATAACGGTTCATATTTTTCAAATTCAGAAAAAACGGGTTTTTCATTCTAATCTATTTTTATTTGAAAAAAATTAACGCTTATGTTGATAAATAAATAAAACATGGCCCGAACTGATTTCTTACAGTTTAAAAGATTATAACATTAGAATCTAATGATTAGATCTAGTCGTCTAATTTACTTTATTTCTTTAATGTAAACAAATAAGGAAAAAAGTGGGACACTTCTATTAAACATAAGGAACTATGTAATCCTAGCTTATTCTAAAATCCTTGCTTAGGCAATTTTCATAGGCATTTCAACACTTCCATAATATTTCAGACGCAAATTAGAAATACATATGTACTCTAGTTCCTGGACTCCAATATTTTTCAAATTTAGACGGGATGTATTATTATTTACTTCAAAATTTAATTGAAGTAATCTTTGAATACAAAGCAAATACAAGTATTCGAAACTGGTTTTCAAAAAGTAAAAAAACCGGGTTATTCGATATTCGAAAAATCAACATTTAGAAAAAACCGACACTGGCAAAGCAGAAAAACCGAGTTGATCACCCTAATAATTATACAAAAATGTGTTAATTTGTTTTACTTATTTAACAGTTTAGGATAATCTCTGAAAGAGCAATTTGTATTAAATATTAATATAAAAAACAAACAAACCATATTAAAAATATATCAAGTGTATTAATTGAAAAAAAAAAAACAATGACATTAGATGAGATGCAAAATGGTAACGTTGTGAATTCACTGAAGACAAATTCTAAAAATCACAATCTACAAATGGATAAAACAAATCTGACAAACGAACGAAATTTCCACCAAAATAACAACAATATTAATAACAATGAAAATAATGCAAATTTACAACAACAACAACATTCAAAACAGGTAAGTTTTTGTTTATTTTATTTGTTTATAACCAGAAATAAAAATGTTTATTTAAACTAAAAAACACACACATTATTCCCATCTATAAACAAAAAAAAAAACATTTAAATTTGTGAATTAAAATATTAGATGACGCCATTCCTATTGATATAATAATAGAAATTAAAATGAAAAACAAAGAATACTAGATTTAAAATATTAAAAAAAAGATGAGCAACTTTTAACCTGACAAGTCGGATAAATGTCGATTTTGCCATGAGTACCAATTACATCATCATGCGGATATTTAGAGCTCATAATTAAAATAAATTCAAGATAGTTCTACTACAATGAATTTAATTACGTTCTAGGTCAATGATTACCAAAAGAACTATGTTTATACAATGTATATTATACATACATAATTTTGACCAAATTTACGTATCGCTCATTTACTTTAAGAACGCATAACTCAAAATTCTGTTTTTATGAAACGTTTAGTACAAAATATAGGTAAATGTTTTAAAGTAAATGTTCCTGGCATGTGCATAACATATGTACATTACAAATCGTGTTCCATAACCTCTTTTTATTTCCTTTTTATTTGTATCTAAATATAAATATCTAAAATATTATACGAAATATATACATATAAGTCTAAATAAAAAATGTTCAAAGGAGTTCAGATAGCTATTTCTTCACTGTTTCCAAATATTTTTTTTTAATTTGTTTATATAATAAATATATATAAGCAACGTGTAACGTATAAAGCGTATACGTTGCGTTATATAAGAAAGCTTATACAATTTCCTTTGAGGGCTTTATAGTCGCTTAATTGGATGCGAGTAGGATATATATAAACAAGTTAGAATGCTATATTCGGCTATGCCGAATCTTAAATACCCTCCACCTGTAAGCTACTTTTTATGAAAACCCTTATAAATATTACTAGATACGTATTTAATAAATTTTGAAGGTTTAAATTGTGCTTCCGTGATGAGGGTGCTATCATATATACCTTTTATGGAGATATTGCCAATTATTGGCCAATCCGAACAAAATTTCACAGAATGATTAATCGATAAAAAACACACTGTGTCGGATTTTATCCGTAAATATATATAATTGAATGAAATATATTGGAAAAAGTGACTTATGGAAATAGGCCTTATATGATAAATAAGATCAATTATGCATTAATCCTAATTAAAAAAAAGATTTCTTATATACACAAAATATCCTTATTCCGATCATTTAGAAATCATATATACCTTTTATGGAGATATTGCCAATTATTGGCCAATCCGAACAAAATTTCACAGAATGATTAATCTATAAAAAACACACTGTGTCGGATTTTATCCGTAAATATATATAATTGAATGAAATATATTGGAAAAAGTGACTTATGGAAATAGGCCTTATATGATAAATAAGATCAATTATGCATTAATCCTAATTAAAAAAAAGATTTCTTATATACACAAAATATCCTTATTCCGATATCTTTATTTATCAATGAAATGTGCGATTTTCTGAAGTGGATCTTATATGACAGATATGAACAATTATGGACAGATCCTTAAAAAACTTATTTTTATAGCCTATTTATACACTACACCACTTTAAAGTAAACCAATCGGCTTAGAATCATTTTCTGAGTCGATTTGGCTATGTCCGTCAGTCTGTCTGTCCGTCCATGTAAACCTTGTAACCAAACTATAGGTCGCAATTTTGAAGATAATACAATAAAATTTGGTACATGATCTTCTATTGTTGGACGAAGATCGGTCCATTATTTCACCTAGCCCCCATACAAATGAACACCTGAATAGGGCTTGTAAGGCTGGTAATCAAACTTCAGGTCTCAATTTTGAAGATAATTCAATGAAATTTGGCACATGATCTTCTATGGTACCTGAAAGGAAGCCTATTGAAAATGGTTAAGATCGGTCCATTCTTTCACCTAGCCCCCATACAACTGAACCCCTGAATATGGCTTGTAAAGCTTGTAATCAAACTTCAGGTCTCAATTTGAAGATAATTCAATGAAATTTGGCACATCATATTCTATGGTACCGGAGACGAAGCCTATTGAAAATGATTAACATTGGTTCATTATTTCACGTAGCCCCCTTACAACTAAACCCGACGAATAGGGCTTTTAAGTTCATAATTATGTTCAATTTCTCGTGTCTCGACAAAAAGCTGCAAAACCAAGTTCTATACTAGCCTCGATGACTATCATGAATTTTATAATTATAGGGTCTCATTTGACTAATACCCCTATACAAAACCCCCTTCAAAATTTGACTTAAATGTCCACAATTTTATTCAACAATAAACGGCTTAAGTATATCTGAGCCAAGGTACAATTCTATTATGAAAACTAAATCACATTTTATTTTTGTAACAGGTGTAGGGTATTATATGGTCGGCCTCGCCCGACTATAATTTCTTACTTGTTTTAAAATATCTTTATTTCTTAATTGGATATTTGCATTTAAGCGATTTTCGTAAGTGGTCCTTATTTGGGGGCTGTGAATAATTATGGACCGATCCGGAAAACATTTCGCAGGGTGTTTCATATCTACTATAAACACATTCATGACTAATATTATACCGATATCTTAATTCAGTTATGAAATATGTGCGTTTACGTAGTTATCGGAAATGGGCCTTATATGGGATCTGTGCCCAATTATGGACGGATCCAAAATACATTTTGCAGAGTGATATATGTATATGTATACACAATACATATTTATGTTGAATATTATTTCAATATCTTTGTTTCTAAATTAGTTATGTGCATTTAAGTAATTTTCTGAAGTTGACCTTACATGGGAGCTGTGACCAATTATGGGCAGAGCCGGAAAAAATTTCGCAGGGTGTTTTATATCTACTTTAAACACATTCATGATGAATTTTATACATTCATTCAGTAATGTAATATGTGCGATTACGTGGTTATCGGAAATGGGCCTTATATGGGAGCTATGCCCAATTATGGACCAATCCGAAAAATATCAATATCAATAAAAATATCCAAAGTGATATATGTATACACAAAACATATTTATGTTGAATATTATTCCAATATCTTTATTTCTTAATTAGTTATTTGTATTTAAGTATTTTTCGCAAGTGGATCATATATGGGAGCTGTGACCGATAATCGAGAGTATGTACCTTTGTATGGGGCTATGAGAAATTTTGAACATTTTTGATCTATGGGTAAAGAAAATAAGGTGTGACAAAATTCATTCCATTATCTTTAGTAGTTTCTGAGAAAACTACTCAAGAATTAGGAATAAAAAAACTTAATATTTTTCGAGATAGTCTGAAATTTTTACTCATAACTTTTTACGTTGTCGACCGATTTGGCTGATTTTCAATACCAAACTGCTTAGGACAATAGTGAATATTTTCAGTGAATTTGTATATATATACTTTGTTGGGTCTCAAATGAATATTTCTTGGTGTTACACACGGAATGACAAACTTATATATACCCTCTATCACCACTGATGGTGGTGGAGGGTATAAAAAATATTTTTTAACTCAAGAATAAGTTTTTTTAATGGACGTTTTTGTTGTTTTTTTTTTTGCACAAAAAAAAACTTTGGCCATATCCTTTAAAAGCTTTGTGGGATGCAAGGGGCTTATGTAAAAAACTAATAGGTTAGGTTGATAGGAGGATGTATACTACATCAAATCCGAAGAAATACACCTAGGCCACTACCGGGCCTGTTGTGCGCTCCAATTTATGAAAAAAAAAATTGTTCACAGAATGTATTATTTTTCCATGTTCAGAAACTCAGTTTCCTGGACGTAACTCCTAAGAATCTTCCAATCGGTGTTGGTTAAGAATGTTATTTCTGGAATAACATCACTTCCAAGATACTTGGATCTAACTTCGACGAATGCCTGACAATGGCAAAGAAAGTACTCCAGAGTTTCACTGTCCATGCTCTACATTCGTCTGAATCCGCACGTCCAATTTTGTATAGATATGCACGTAATCCTGTGTGTCCACTCAGAATACGTACCATCATACTAACCTCAGACTTGCTCATTTTGAGGAGATTTCTCGTCTTGCTCTCATCAGGGTCACCCCATAGAATCTTTGTGGTTCTACCGTTTCATTATTCCAAGAGGCCTTATGGGATTCTCTCATCCATATTTTTAATTCAGCTTTTGTTGCGTCGAATGGTTTTGCGTTTGTCAGGTTAACTACATCGAGCTCTCTTCCCTTTAAAGCTATTACATTCGCCCCTTCGTTGCCGACTACTCCCGAGTGGCCTGGTACCCATATGATGTGAACCTTACCTCTTGGAGAGTATTCAGTTAAAGCTTTCTTACAATCCAATACGGTCTTAGATTTAATTCTATCACCTGATATCGCCCTAATTGCCTTCTGGCTGTCGGTAAATATATTAAGCCTTGTGGGCGCCATATTTGTTCTAATCCAATTTACATATTTTGTTATTGCTCGTACTTCTGCCTGGAAGCTTGTGTAATGATTAGGTAAACGGTGGTATATTTCTGTTTCTGGGTCTTCAATATAGAACCCAAGGCCCACTTTGTCCCCTAATTTAGAGCCATCCGTGTAGCAACGGATTCCTACTGGTATTTGCTCTAATGTTCCGCTTGACCAAGACATTCTATCTGGGATTAGCGTTTCAAAGTTTCCGACATATTCTGTGTCTGGTATGCGATCAGGTACATCCGATAAATGTGTATAACCTTCCAATGTGTCCAGTACACATTGATGACGTGTCCTATAACCGTTTTTGGCCAGTTCGCCTAAAGTAAAGAGCCGTTCGGCTGTAAGCGCCGCCTCATATCTTAAATGTGTTTCAATGGGTGGAATATCTAGCAACGTTTCCAGAGCCTTGGTTGTAGTAGTAGTACAGTAGTAGTACACATGGCACCACTTATACCCATGCAGCTTGTACGCTGAACTCCCTGTAGTAGTTTGATATTACACTTTTTGTCCAAAGCAGTCCACCAGATTA